TATTAATTTTTATATTTTTTATATAAATTTATGATAAAAATGTTTTTATCTGTGCTTAAAAAATTCTTAATGATAAAGTAGAAAAAATGTTTTAGAGATTTTAAAGATTGTTCTCTTCTAACTGGAATAGTTCTATAGTTAGAAGGAAATTAGATAACGATTTAACTTGAGTGTTTTAGGTTCTCTTTTTTAGATGATCCTCAGTTATGTAATATAAAATAACTATTATTTATTTTAAATGATAGATTATACATCAAATGAAAAAACTTCCTAAACAGAGGACATACCCCCAGACCCGAGAATAAAAAGGGAGCGCTAAAAGGTAATGAACCATCATCAACCGCAAAGCATAAGCATGCCTGCACTGGGAAACTATATAGCACATCTGAGAGTGATCTGGGCTGGAGTTAAAAAATAAATAATTAAATTTAAAAACTTTAAATTTAAGTTTTTTAAAATTAAATAAAGGGTGTATTATCTTTAAGTATTTAATTATTTTTAGATAATATCTTATGGTAAATTCTCAAAATTTTCTTAAATTTTTTATTAAGTTTTAAAATTTTTTTGAGAGTAAATAAACTCTTAAATTTAGTCATGTAGGCAGTTAAATCTCCCTTCTTTATAATAAATTTAATACTTATTTAAATATCACTTGAATGAATAGAATATTGGTATATTGTTATTTACATAATAAATATTAAATTTATTATAAAAAAGATTAAATTAATTAAATTAATAAATTTAAAAATTACTTATTTTAATAAAAATTTAAAAATTTAGTTAAAAATTTAAAATAAATTTAAAGGTTTAACATAAAATTTTACTTAATTTTTTATACATCAACCGTGACTAATGGCCTTCTGCTTGACTTAGACCCAAAAAACGAGTCGGTGTGGACAATTCCATTTGACGAGCCTGTTCTGGCCGTTGGTATGAAGTTTTAGGTTTTGGTCTTTACTATGTGGGTCAGTGGGTCGCGGTAGACATCATACTCTGTCACATCATTCCTACTTTTTATGCATGAAGTGTGACAAATAGCTTTCTGCTTGACTTGGCTAAAGATTAAAAAAATGTACTAACGAGGGATTGGATCAAGTGGTAAGCGGTTTGTTCCAGTTTAAGCAAGATCTCGAGTTTGAGACTTTGTGTACGCAGCAGCCCCCGCTGAGAGATTCACTCACTATTTTCAGGTGTGCAACGCAGGTCGGGTTCGAATTAGTCGGAGCGAAGCTCCGGATATAGGGCGGAAAATCAAAAAAAAAAAAAGATTAAAAAAATGTGACCATGCGTACCATTCCATTTAGACAAGCCTATCCTTGTCGTTGATATTCAGCTTGCATTCCTGGTCTTTACCACATGCATCAGTGGGTCCCGGGTATTAGACATTTTGTGCTTATTTCTTGGCAAAACCCTAAGTTAAGCCCCTGAACTAACCCTAGAATCGCTATTAAGCCCCTAAACTTTAATTGATGCAGTTAAACCCTTGAACTCTAGGATCAAAGCAATTAAGCCCTTCTTCTTACCCCAACTTAACTGCCGTTTGGGATTGCTCGCCTGACTTAACTGCC